TTTCCTCCTGTGTGCCACGGCCTAGGGCCTCGCTCAGAGGGGCGCTCGGGCTCTGCACAGAGCGGCACATTCAGCTCGGAACCGTGGCTCAAACTCACCCCACTGTAGTGCGCCGCTGGTTGGGGGTGCTGTTGGAGGATATGGGCTGGTCCGCCCTCTGGAGACTTGGGCTCTGAGGCTTGTGTGCCTGGCTAACCCTGCCGAGCAGGGCTGGGGCCATCAGGGGTAGAACTGGGCGAGTGCCCAGTCCTCTGCAGGCCAGAGGGAGCAGTGGTGCCCTGCTGGTGGGGAGTGAGGAGGCCACCACCTTGGCGACCGGTGGTGGTGGGGGACTGCTTGGGGTAGGAGTTCTGGACCGAGCAGCCTGCAGGAGTGGGGAGCCACAGATGGTGGCAGCACGCCCTGGAGCCACCAGCAAGGGAGGGCTTGTTTTCCCCTGTGGGGACACAGTTGAGGCACTTGGTCTGGGCTTCATGGCTGGTTTCTTTCATTGATGCAGACTGGAGACCCCAGCTGGCTGTTTTCAAGGAGAGCGTGTGGAGGCTGCTGCTCTAGGGGATTGCACCCCACAGCCCTGTCCAGACCGCGGCCACACCATGCCCCTCTGCGGCTTGTCTGACCCTGCGGTCCCTGGAGATGCGGGCTGCACCCCGAGGGGCCGTCCTGCAGAGCGGGGTCAGGGTGGCCAGTAGGGTTCCCGTGGTCTTGCTGCACGGGATAAAAGCAGTCTTCCTCATCCATGCCTCACATCCTGTGTGCTTTTCTCTTGTCAGGGAAGTGGTGACTAATCACGCCTGGCCCTGCTCAGCGCCTCCCCCACGGGGGCTGCGCCCTCCCCTGAAACTTCACAGGCCATAGTTGCTGCTGCTGAGGGGTGGGGGGATTGTGTCCCCGGCATGTTGGGACGTGGAGTTGCAAAGCAGGTGTGGAGGGAGGAATCCTGTTTCCTGTGCCGTCCGTCGGTGTGCGTGGTGTTTCTCGCTGGCGGCTCTGGTTCCTAACCAGGTGGCCATCATGGAGTTGCCCGCATCTGTAGTCCGAGCGTGTTGCCAGGAAGCCCGTGGTCAGGGTTTCCGTCTTGTATCGTTGCCTGTGCTGTCACCTGTTCTTGGAACGTGACCCAGCAGATGTGCTCAGATGGGGCCGTCCCTGAAACCTGCCCACTTAAGAATTTAGCTGTTAGTGACCATCCAGCAAGAATGGATGCTAGGCTTTGGGGCAGGGTGCGGTCCAGTGGAGAGAGAGACCTGGGGCCGGGTGTAAAATCCCATTGCTTGGGTAGGGCCTGGCCGAAAGGCGTCTAGAAGGAAGGAGGCCTCACCTTCCTGGGAAAGTTGGGGGAGGCTTCTACTGAAAGCTTCAAGGGACTGGCTCCTGTGTGCCCGCAGGAGCCCCGGTCCTGAGGCCTTGCTGGGGAGAGTGCCCTGGGTGGCCATGGAGTCTGGCTGGATGTGGAGAAGCCGGGACTGATACATGGGGCGTGTGGCTGTCAGAGCCGGTGGGGAAAGAGCCATGTGCCTGCTCAGCTGACGCTCAGGCTTGGTCTGTGTTTGGAAGCGTGTGACTTGGAGGCAGGCCTCCTGCCTTGGCCACCGTCCAGAGTCCACCCTGCAGCCTCGTCTCAGAGGCGCGTGCCTTGTTTGTGCAGCCTCCCCTAATGGGGCAGCGGCAGAAGTGGTGGCCTGGAGTGTGGCTTCTGGTTTTATGGCACCGGTGACACTAGGCGAAAGGGCTCAAGGCCAGGTGGCCTTGGTTTTTGAGGAGTTTGGTCTTAGAATGTGTTACAGGCGGAAGTACTCTGCCTTTTATTTCCTCAAGACTGACTCCCTGTTCCTAAGGTTTGCGGAACTTTGGCTGGAGGTGGGATCAGCAGAGGCCTCAAAGATCACCCAGCATCTTCCTAGAAGAGGCCCTGGGTGGTCGAGACCGGGACTGAGGCTCTTGGCTCTCTGCCCTGGCCTGCCTTCCTTCCAGCTGCACATTCATCTTGGCTGGGTTCAGAGAAGGGGCCCTCGGAGTGCTGGGGGAGAACCCCACTGTTTCCCAGAAATGCTTTGCAGTTCCCTAGATGTCTGTGGGCGCCGCCTGTTTGCCCAGGCGCTGATCTTCCTAGGAGGGGTAGACTTGCCAAGTGTTCCGTCTACTCCTGGGTCAGAATTCCCTGTTTGTGTTTTTGTGTTTTTGAGACGGTTATGTAGCCCAGGCTGGCCTCGAACTCACAGCGATCCTCCTGGCTCAGCCTCCTGAGTGCTGGGATTACATGCGTGCACCACCACGCCTGGCAACTGTTTCAGAATTTCTTGTGGCAGATTCAGTCCGCTTCTGTGGCTAGAAAGTAGAGGGAAATGTACGTGTATTGGGCAGTGACTATGTGTCAGGCGCTGGGTTTACGGCCCTTTCACCTCACCTCAGCCTTTCATCTTCAGACCAGCCTGTGAGTAACATGGTGTCGCCCGTCTCACCGTTGGGAGAGGGAGGTGGAGGCTTGGAAAGGTTCAGCCCCACACCTGAGGTCCCCCAGCTGCTAAGTGGCAGAGCCAGAGTTCAGCTGGTGGCAGAGGTGCTCGGCTGTGTCGGGCAAGGACTTCCTCTTCCCTGGATGGCTTGTTGCAGTTGGATCTGCTGGAGCATTGATGGCATCTTGTTATTTCTAATCACCTTTGACCTCATCAAAGATTTGCTCTTCAGTATGAGATAAAATGTTCTTCACATGCTTTCCAATTAATCAAAAAAGTACAACTTCCAAGTTTATACAGATTTGATCCTGTGTCTCTGTGTGAGTCGTATTGTTCACCTGTGACAGCTTAGGGGAGTTTCCCAGGGCAGGAGTGCGGAACTGGCTTGCACAATGGCCTTGGCTTGCGGGTGTGTGGCTGCAGACTTGAGGTTCAGGGTAGTGTGAACCATGAGCCCTGGGACATGTTCATTCCCAGTGAGGTGATGCCCACATCCTTTTAGAGGATCAAGTGTAAGAGATAGTTTATTTTTAATTTTTTTTTTTTTTGAGCATTGCCCAAGCTAGGGTCAAACTTGTGATCCTCCTGTCTCAGTCTCCCTTAGTCCTGACATGTGCTGCCACATTCAGACAGCTTACTTTTGGCTGTGCCTCTGTAATTTTGTTTTTGTGTCAAACTCAATTTTGTCTGTGTTTTTATTTGGGGAAAGTACAGTGTGGTTCTAACTTCTAAGAACATTTGATAATCAGTTATTGCAATATGGGATTAGATAATTCTCCCTTACATGCTGGGTTCTGTTTCAAGTTTTTACATAGACTCAGTCCGTTTCTGCATTCTGCCATTTGGTTCATTCTTCTGCTGCTTCTCTTTGCCTCGTCCCATGCTGCCTGTCTATTTCCAGGTCAGGAGGGTGGGAGGTTGCCCCTCCCCTTCCCTGGGCTGGGCTGACCCTGGGAGGAGAGGCTGAGACGGGGCCACACTCAGAGCCTGCAGCTCCTGGCCCTTTGATGACAGGGAAGGGCCCCCGGGCCAGGGGCCCACTCAGTGCTCTCCTGGGGCCCTAGTTTTGCCAGGGCTTCCAGTGGGCATTAGAACCCAGGGATGCCTTGAGTCCGAAGCCCATTCTTTGTACTGTTGTTCCGGGTGGGGCAGATCTCAGGGTGCCATTTGATTTCTTCAGTGTTGACATTTTAAGGGAAGATGAAAGGTCACTTGTTACAGGCTGGGGCTGGCAGTCTGCCAGGGGCTTAAGCAGGGGCACCTGTACTTTTGACTCCTTGCCCTCAAGCCTGGGCTTTGCTGCTCCATCGCTGGTTATTGTCTTCCCGAGTCCATCGCCCAGCCTGGGGTGAGCCCCTCTCCTAAGCCTGCGGAGCAGGACCTGGCCCAGCTCTGCAGAGCGGCAGTAAGCCCTGGCCCCGTCCCCTTGCTCTGGCTTCCGCTGTGGTGACTGAGTATGATGGGCTCACAGCCCCTCCCGTCGGCTCTGCAGCGTCACTGGCAGTGGCACGTGTAACTCATCGTGCCATTTCTGTCTTGATGAAGCTCTCTGCAGCTTTGTGCTGTCTCAGGAAGAGCAGCTGTTGACTTGTCTGTGGGTTATGAATCCACGTGCTCTTGACAGAGGTGTCCTGCTTGTCATGCTTGCCTTGCATGCATCAGCGCTGTGTCACTGTGACCGGATGCCTGAGAAAACTGAGAGAGGTTTACTTGGACACCCATTTCAGAGTTTTCAGCCAGTGGTCACTTTGCCCCCGCCGTGGGGCTGCTGTGGCATGGGTCATGGGGTGGGAGCGCCTGGCAGAGGAGGCTGCCCATCCTGGGGCGCCTGGAAAGCAGAGACAGGAAGGGCATGGCAGTCCCTTCCTCCTAAAGAGCTACCGGCTGAAGACTGATCTTTTGTCAGGTGGCCTTCGGGGACGTTCCAGACCAGATTATAGCTCCACCACTCTCCAAAAAGGACAGGTCCTCCAGAAAGCCCTCTGTCTGGTCCAGTCCTGGTGCTCCCAAGGCTGTGCCGGGCATCAGAGCCGTGAGCAGCGGGGTGACAATGACGGTGGGGCAGAGCACCATTTGCCTTGGGCAGAGCCTTTGCCTGGTTCTCTCCCTGCTGCTTCACCTCATGGTGGCGTGTGTGAACGCTGGCTCTGGTCTGCAGTCAGGCATGGGTGTGAGGACTCTGTGGGGTGTTCCCCATTCTCCTCAGAAGGCTCGCTGATCACCCGAGCCGTGTGTTGAGTGCGGGCATCTTGGGCTTTTTTTTTTTTTTTTTTAAATTTTAAAGAGAAAAAAAAATAACAAAAAAACCCCCAAACAATACATAATTTCAAAACAAAATGATAGGAAATCAACCATGATTGTTAGCATGTTGTTATCTTCAAAGTAGTTGTTACATCTTGGGCTTTTACTTTTATTTCTTATTTGGTACCGGGAGTGGGACTCAGGACCTCACACCTGCCAGGCAGGCTGTGTGCCACTGAGCTACATCCCTGGCCCCTGGGCTTTTATATCCACCTTCTCCAACTCCTGTCCATGTTTCTCTAGTTTCTTCTGGGACCAAGATGACTGATGGAAACCTTTCCTCCTCCACAAATGGCGTGGCCTTGATGGGCGTTCTGGACAGCCGGCCAGGAAACTCCCTGCAGAGCCTGCGCCACGAGAACGGCAAGGCCCCCAGACCTCTCTCAGCACCTGAGTACAGGCCCAACTTGAAAGTCGGGCCTTTGGAAGACCGGGAGAGCCTGCAGTCGGTGGACTCAGGGATCCCGACCCTGGAGATCGGCAACCCCGAGCCTGTGCCCTGCAGCGTGGTGCACGTGAAGAGGAAGCAGTCGGAGTCCGAGATCGCCTCCGAGCGGGCCTTCCAGAGCGCATGCCCGCTGCCCTCCTGCGCACCTCCCGGGCCCAGTGGCGCAGAGCGGGAGCAGGCTGTGCGGAAGTCCTCCACCTTCCCCCGCACGGGCTACGACTCGGTTAAGCTCTACAGCCCCACCTCCAAGGCCCTGAGCCGCAGTGATGACGTCTCCGTCTGCAGTGTCTCCAGTCTCGGCACAGAGCTGTCCACCACGCTGTCTGTCAGCAATGAGGACATCTTGGACCTCATGGTCACGAGCAGCTCCAGTGCCATCGTGACCCTGGAGAATGATGATGACCCGCAGTTTACTGATGTCACGCTAAGTTCCATCAAGGAAACCAGTGACTCGCACCAGCCGGGCTGTGCCGATGACCCCGAGGAAGGGCGGAGACTGAAGCTGCTGGGCCCCCTGAGTAACTTCTTTACGAGGTAAAGCCATCTCTGTCCCCCCGGCAGTGCCCTGGCATTGCGTGTCTGGACCGAGTGCTGTGCGCTCCTCCTTGTTGGGGTCGGGCTGTGTCGTGCTGGTCACCGTGCCCTCCACAGCCCCGAGTCCTGTGGGGCGGGTCTGCAGGACCCAGCCCTGCACTCCTCCCTGCCTGCCCTGGCTGCTGTGGCCTCAGCTCCTTTGCTCAGTCCTTGTCACCTCTCTTCTCCGGGTTGTTGTGACTGCTGGGTTCCCACAGGTGTCCTGTGCTGTCACCCTGGCCCTGAAGGGAGGGCCCTTACACCGGTGACTTCAGAGTTTGTGACCAAGCAGAGGGTGCTGATGGGGGTGGGGCAGCAGTGACTTTTCCGTCACTGTTCCCTAGAGCCTGGGGCTCGAGCGTCTAGTACCCCAGTTGCGCTCCTTGTGCTGTTAAGTGTGAGCTGTCCCTGTTGCCAGCCACACACGTTCCCGCCCTTCCCCGGTGCCCTGTTGCCTGCCAGGCCCCTCTGTGTCCGCTCTCACCCTGTGGAGACTGTTGCTTTGGTTTCTGCTGCTTACCCATGCTCTCGAGCTTTTGTCCAGTGAGTGTCTGTCCAAGTCCCTGCTCTCAACAGGTCTCGAGGGGACAGGAATGATCTCTGGTGACGGCGTCCTGCCTGGGGTTGAGAGGGTGGGCTGTCAGCCAGTCATACAGGGACGCTCGGTCACCCATATGGTGAGGTCAGTACGCAAGGACCTGAGCACTTGGTGAGTGGGTACAGAGTGGCGGTCTGGTCCGAAGCACCCTCGGGCCTCTGGGCCCCAGGCTTGATAGAGGGTGGCATTTCTGCCACTCCCTTGGTGCCTCCTGTGCACGCTCGCAAAGCCCATGCTGGACCCATGGCAGGACGTGGCGTGATGTGCTGGTTGGGTCACCGAGGGGTCCCTTCAGCTGTGCCCAAGACTGTGGGCAGTGTGCAGTGCTGTCCTGTGGTTTGGGGCACCTTTGTTTCTGAGGTGCTGAGAGCAGAGCCCCCAGTCCCAGAAGTCAGGAGCTTGGATTCACCTCCACTGGAGAGAGCCCAGAACTCTGGGGCTCACCGTTGCTGTCCAGGTGGTGCTGGGCGGCTGAGCTCTCCCTTGTGCTTGAGTGAGTGTTCTCAGCTCTCCCTCGTTTTATGTATCTATTTATCTATTTCACATCCCTTGGGGTTAAACCCAGGCCCGCCCCCTTTTCTTTTTTTGAGGCAGGGTCTTACTACATTGCTTGGCCACCTAGGCTAGGATCAAACTTGCTATACTCCTGCCTCAGCCTCCCAGATTGCTGGGGTCAGAGGCCTGGGCCTGTTTATGAGCACCACCAGGGCCTGTGTGGGTCCTCGGCTCTTCCTGAACTTCAGAATCTCGGGGAAGAGACTGAGAGAGATTTTCACTTCACAGGATTCTTAGTACCTGTGGAACCCTGGTGGGAGCTGGGGTGGCTGGGAATTTGCACCGTGGAATTTGGCTTGGGAATTCAGCAGACCTGCACCCACACTCTAGCTGTGTGACCTTGGACAAGTTACTTCAGTTCTCTGAGTCAGCTTCTCTCCGTAAAGTGGCATTAACAGGGGCCCAGCACAGAGCGCTGGTTGTGTCGTTGTTTATGCTCCCCTCGCCCATCACCATCCTCACCTTGCTTCACGCCTCAGTGCCCCCACCGGGGAGCGGGCCGCCCTTCTTCTGGGAGCGATTCACAGGTTGATGTGGGGGGCTGAGCCAACCCATGGATGGCTTTAGCTATTCCTGTTGGTGGCGTGGGACAACCCTGGCTGTGCCTTGCCCCTTTGTCTCCTGTGACCAGGCCCCGGTGAGGCGTCTGTTGGACCCTCTTCCCTGCAAAAGGGAACCCCACCAGTTAGGCAGTTTCTCAAACCTCTCTACGGCTGTTTTTCAGAATCCTGCCTCATCTCTTCTGCTTTATTCCTGGGTGCCTGTCCCCCGGACCTTGTTCTGATGGCTGTGACATTGTTATTGAGAGCCACATGAATGTTCCTTTGGGCTCAGGTGGAACATGATGATACATGAGTCACAGTAGGTGACGCTGTGTGCTGAGCTGGTGGGCTTTGATCCTGGAGCCGCAGAGGGTTAGAGAAGCTTCAGTCTGGACTTGCTCTGTGCCTGCAACGTGGGGCTCCCACTGGGCCTGGTCTGCCAGGCAGGACTGAGCTCAGCTGAGGGGTGCTGGGACTAAGGGAGGACATGTGCCGAGACGTGAGAGCAGTGTCTGTTCTTGTCCTCAGATCTCCCAGCTCTCCTTTCCTGCTGCCGTGGGCTTCACACCAGTGAAGTGAGGTGTGACACTGGTGGCCCTGGTGACCTGGACCTCACTGTAGAGCCGCACAGAAGACACCTGTGTGCACCTGAGCTGCCACTGGGGTCCGAGCCCTGTGTGTTACGGGAAGGAGTGCTGGGTGACCTCCTCCTGATTGCTGGGTGCTGCCTGTGGTCTCAGGCCAGCTGGGACTCGCTGGTGCTAGGCCTCAGTGTCCTTGTCTGCCACCCCAGAGGCAGGGAGGGTAAAGGTACACAGGGTGAGGCGAGCCCCAGGCCCTGTGTCAGTCCTCTGCAGCGGACGAGGGTGAACAGAGACTTGAACCTAGCAGCAAGGCAGGCTTGGGCCCAGGATGATGAGAGCCAGGCCTCTGAGAAGAGGCCAAACATGATAGCGGAGGGGCCAGGATCGGAAGAGGGCCAGAGAGCGGCGCTGAAGTCCCCATGGACGAGCAGGTGAAGAGGTGAGGAACGCCTCGTGTCGGGGCCTGCTGGCTGCGGTGTCGGCCGTCATGCTGCAGTGGAGGGAGGTCAGCGTGGTCAGCACGGTGCCTCCGAGCTGGAGTGCGAGGACCTGGGGGAGGTACCAGGGCTCAGACTAGAGTGTCTGCATCCCAGGGGATGTCCTGTTTCACCCAAGTGTTTCCTGGCGTACTGTTGCCCTGCAGCCTCTGGCCCCGTTTCAATTCCCAGCCCAAGGATTTACTTTGCCCAGTTGTGACTCTTACTCCAGCTGAGTTTTCACCAGCTCAGTCTTAACGATCGGAGCACACCTGCACCATTGCCAGCCACTCGCTTACGCAGCTCATCTCGTCCTGAGCCCTGGTTCCGCGCGGGGAGGTCTTTGGGGACTTGTCTGAGACTCTTCCCCGAGCCTGGGGCTCCGGGTTGCAGTTGTCTATTGTGTTCAGAGATGATAGCTGCCTGTGGGGGCCCATGTGGAGGCTGCTGGATGCCCTGAGGCCATGGAGAATGTGGGTTGTTGCTCTGGAGCAGCTGGCTTGCTAAGGGTCCGCTGCCTCCCCAGGCTCTGCTGGCCTTTGTTTTCTTTTGGCTGTAAATCCCAGCCATAGTAATTCAGGCCCTGAGCGATGGGGTACCAAGCATTATGCGAGGTCCATAAATATGTTTCTCATCATAGTTAAACAATGTACTGAACATTTTTCGTATGCCAAGGCATGAGTCTAGGTCAGGGGTGGTGAACCTACAGCTCCGTGCTGCAGCGGGCTGTATCACTGGTCTAGGTGCTTGGCTTCACTTGGGAGTGAAACAAAGACCCCTGTCCTTGAAGAGCTCGTGTTTTGGTACAGAGGCAGATGGGAGATGCACTCACTAGATAAAGTGCGTGTGTTGGTGGTAATACAGGTGATGGAGCACATAAAGCAAAGGGGGTAGGAGGTACTGTGAGGACTGGGGAGGTGGTGACCGTGGCCCAGGAGAGGAGGGGCATGGGTGGGCCCGGGTGTGGGCACGGAGGCCCCTTGGGTAGCCTGGGAGAAGGCAGAGAGGCTGTGGGACAGGTCCCATGCAGGCACACTGCCACCACAGGGGTTGGCATGGGGTCACATTGGTGGGGAGCCACTGTAGAATTGCAAGAGGAGGGCTTATGCTGGTTTCCCACTGCCTCATATCCAGTTACCACAAGTATAGTGGCCGCAACCAGCATGGCCGGCCTGCTTCAGCCGGGCTGGGGCTTAGTGGCGTGAAACCCAGGTGTTGGTGGTTGCCACCTCCTCCAAGGCTTGGCTCGGGAATCGTGTGCTTCTGGGCTCTTGCACTTGCTGGCAGAACACAGCTCCTTGTGGTCTTAGGGCTGCGTTTCTCCTTCCTTGCTGGCTGTGAGCCAGGGCCAATCTCAGCTCTGGTGCTGCCTGGTTTTGCCATGTGGCCCGTCCACCTTCGGAGCCACAGCAGAGACTCTCTTGTGTGAAGTCCTAGAGTCTGTCGCCAGGAAGAACCCTGGTTGCTTCCTCGGGGCATAAGCCTGGGTCTAGTGGACCCATCCCTTACTTTTCTATGTAAATTTGTACTTCAGAGTTAGAGTAGCCATCTGGGCATCTCAGTACCATTTCCTGAGGGGTACAGGAAGCAATCTATGTGTTTGCCCACTTGAATGGCAAGGGGTGTGAATGTGTGCAAAAGTGTCAACGTGGGATTTGGACCCACCTTTCTGCTCCAGGTAACTGGTTTTGTGCATGTTTACTCAAGCATCAGAGAGGGTACAGTAGACCCACACCACTCCAGGAGTTGTTAAAGAAAAGTTTTCTTTTGATTTTTCTGGTAGAAGTAGCCCAATTCAGTACAGCGACACATGAAGAATCAGATTTGCAAGTTTTGGAGGTCAAAAGTGAATCATCAGATTACTCGTGCATGGATGCTGAAGATGATCCGTTATGGTAAAATACATGTTTTCATAACAGAAGAGTGGTGTGGGTGGATGATGATGATAGTAATGATGATGATGACTTTGACGTTCCTGTGACAGTGAAATGGAGCAAGAATAGACTGATACAGACACAGAAATGATTGATTCAGATGATGAAGAAGACAGCAATGTGAGTGCATATTTGACTAGTTGAAATGTGAAATGGCCACAAACAGGAGAATCCAATGTTAGAATGAGGTCTGAAGGTCTTGGCAGGAGTGAAAGGTATTGGACAGAATGCCAACACTGCCATTCAGTGCTGGAAATTGTAGCAGATGAAAT